AACGTGGTTTTTTAGATTAATTTTTTAATCTACTAAATTTTTATCAGATGAATTGATCATTACTGGAAATTTTGCGATAATATCCAGTGACTGATGATGGTGATTCCTGTGAAAAAATGCGGCAAAATGTGAGGGATGAAAATAAAGGTTCTGATAAATAGAATGAAAATGATTCTTGTGAAGAATTCCTTCGATCAACCACACACAAAAATGTTAGTGCCCGTGCGAAGTACCAAAAAACAGGTTTAAAATGACAAGATTCATTCATCTTACAGGTTAAATTTTCTTTAATGAACAGGTTTCAATTATGAATTACACCACAACACTGATGCTGATCAAGATTGTATTTGTTTTGGGGGGGGGGGAGGTTATCATATATATTGAATTGTGTGTTTCTTGTTGAAATAAGATACTCTTCTCTCTAAATAAAAACTTCTTTATGGGTTTCAAGTAATTAGCTTTAAATTGAATTACAGAATGAAAAAATCCTGGGGAGATTTTCAGAGTTTTCTCTAGTGCCAGGATTTAATTTTATTGATGGTCTCCTGGCTTTCCTCTTGCCAAAAAAAAAGCAGGTAAGATATATTGAGCCAGTCTGCCATTGATGCAACAAAATAGTGTCCATACATTTTTCACTAATTTGGATGCATGAAGATACAGTAGTTTGTGATCATGTGAAGCAGACAGAAAAGGTGAACTGGGATGGCCAAAATGTATATAACTTTTAAACAATTCAAGGACAAATTTTGCATTGAGCATTTACAGCCAACCCCTGCACAATGGACTTGATTTGTGCAACAGACTAGTCTGAAAAGTCTTTCATGCAAATTTAAAAATAATTTTTTTTCAATTTTTAACATAAATTTTAAACCAATAGAAGTCTGTTGAGCAGATTTAGTCCATTGCGCAGGAGGTCTGCTACTGCTTTAAGGGGGTTGACTGTACAATATATAGCAATCCATAATTGGCAATGCAAGGAAGGGTACCAAATCATGATGTGAAAAACATATGTTATTCTTGATGTGGTTCAGGACACACCAAAATATTCAATGGCATTAGTGACCCAACAGTGAAAATTGTCCACTCTCCACCATCAAGTGCATTCTCTCATCATTCATGGTTTGCCATCTGTTGGGTGGGCTGGGAAACTTAGGTTACACATTTCTTTGCTAGAGGTCACTTCAGTCCTCTTTCAGAGGCTGACATCTATGTTCTCCTCTCTACTTCCCTAATTGTTCCCTCAGCAGGCTTGAGAAGCTTATTTGAAGTTCATTTTGGACTATTTATTTCTTTTTTAAATTACCTAAATTCCTCATGCGTTGTCCCACCAGTTTTTATTCAGAATCTGGAGGAATGAAATGTGAAACGTCAACTGGGGAGCTTATAGGTTTCACATTTCATTGCTAGAGGTCACTTCAGTCATCTTTCAGACTATTTCTTTTCTCTGCGGGATGGAGAAACGTTGAAAAACATTTTGTACTAAAATTTTCTCTCTTGAATTTCTCCTGCTTTGTTCCACCATCAGTTTTATTTGAAATCTGGAAGAAGGGTTTTCAGTGCATTTGGTTTGGAAGAGTTGTGTAATTTTTTGCATTTTTTTTTTTGCAGACGTTTGGAAGAAAACATGAAAGATCCGAGGTTGTCAGAAATGGCGGATGAGCACAGATACGCGTTGCTGACTGCCACATTGCTGAGGCAACAGCAGAGGTCCGTGTCGTCGTTGTGCCTGGAGAATGGTGACAGGGTCGACAGTGGAGTGGGTCACGACGCCGATGACGACGCCGACGACGACGACGACGATGACGACGATCGTCATCATCATCGTAGTCGTCGTCATCATCATCATGATCATCACGATGATCACGACGACGGTGGCGACAGTGTGAAAGACTTTTCCAGCATCCCGTGTGAGAGAATGACGACGACGTCGACGACGACGACGACGATGACGACGAGTGGTGCTGGTCATGTTACACTCACTCTGCCATTGCCCAAGACGAGTCATAATCGTCGCAAGTCCACTGCTGCCACTTCCACTGGCTACAGGTTTGACTACGTACCTTTTTTATTATTCTTCAAGTCCTGCAATTTTGTGTCAAGATTTAAAGGGCTGAAAATTTGAAAGAGTTTTCTCAATGCTATTCCAAGTAAAGGTCATTTTTTGTCATCATCTCTGTACATGATTTTGGTGAAGAAAATGTCACGCCATGCGGAAATAAAAGAGGGGAGCCAATTCATTGTAGGTGTTTGTGTTTGAAATGGTATACACCGATTTATTCATGCTTTTTATTTGAAAAAAAAATTAAAAATTAAAAGTTTATCGGGTTTTGAGCATTCATAGTTTTAAGCGAAATTTTGCAGCTGAGAGGAGATTTTATCTCTTATTCAGCGGCATAAATTTGCATTGTATTATAATAATGTTGCTTTTTCGTAAAGTGATTTGATTTGCTTTTGATTTTCCTCGTCTTGCGCTTTTTGGCAGTATTTTCTTGAAGTGATGATGGAAATGCTGATTATTATTCTATGACCTTACAGATTATTATTCTGTGACGTTCAAGGAATTTGGAAAACGGCACGTTCCGATTTTACGATTTTTTATAATTTTCTGTGGCTTCGTAATAAAGGCTTGTCTTCTGTCTAGTGATTAATTATGCCTATACTGTACAGTGATATTCGCAATGGAATGAACTGTCTCCCGATCATCTGTGTAATTTGCTCTGAAAGAATATCGTCTGCATAAATATATTAATTCATCGTCTAGGCTTGGTAATAAAATTATGTCTTGGTGACGTTTAAGGAATTTGAGACTCGAGAATCAAGCAGGAAATTCTTATCCGCGTGTAGTTGGCATGATGTGAAGTTTTGAGACAATTTTTTTTTGGAGGGAATTGAGAAGAAGAAAAGATTTAGGTGCCCGCGTGAATAATAACCAGGCCAGATGCTACTTGACCGTAATAATCAGATGAGAGCAGGCGAACTTAATGAGGTACTTGAATAGCGGTTTTGGGTCCGTGATTTAACTCGGATGTTCATGCATGAGTACTTTTTGATTTGCCGTAAATTTAATAAAAACCTATTTATTTATTTTTCTTCATTTTTTGGCCTTCAAAGGAAAGCAATGATCGTGATCATGAATTGCGTGTGGGAAAATGCGTATCTAAATATTTTGAAAAACGAAAAAATGTTGAACCATAACTTTTTAAAATAATGTTACTATGGTCGTAATTTAGAATAGTATGTTTCAGCTTTTAATTATCTGGAAATTTCGTTGTGCCGAAATTTTATTTTGCATGAGATCCAATGGAAGAAATGTTCCTCAGATTCTAGACACTTGCGAAACAGCCTTGAGAAAATTGTAAATTTACTCTTCACATTTTCAGAAAGTTATTATAGAGAGCAGTTTCTTTGGATTACTTTCGTGAAAACAGTAGTAGGATGAACTTTCGAGCATACAGTTTTTGGATTAACATAAAATCTGAGCAATCTTATGTCAATTTTAAGCTCTCAACACTCCGAAATTCACTGTAACTCCCAGGAGCCAGTAGAAAAAAAATTAAATTACTGCCACTCTTTTTTTATGCACAGTATAATTTGCATTGAATTTAAAACGAATTTCGAGGAATTAAAAAAAAGAACGCGTTTTTTGGTCCAGAAAGTTTTTTTCTCAACGTGGAAAACTTTATTTTTCGGGCAAGTTACGTTGAAATACTGTATATCTCGGAGTCCAAGTGAAAATTTATTTTTGAATATTTTTTGGCTCAATCATACGCATATTACAGAGTACAGAACTGTATTTAAAAAATCGATTTAAATTGCATGGTGATGATGATGAAGTCTTGAATCGATTGATTGATTGGCAGGTTATCGCAATCCTGTTTTTAATTTTAAGCTCTCAGCACCTTTCTAAAATTCAGTGCGACTTTCAGGAGCCAGGAAAGCAAAATGAAGATTCATTCGATTGTCTTTTTCCTCTATATATAGTCTGCATTTTTGGAATTAAAAATTAATTTCGAAAGTTCCAACGAAAAAATCTTGCTGAATTTCATGCTTTGTTTCTTCCAGGCGATTCACGAGAAATTCGTAACGCGAAAATCATCACGCAGATCGATTGCAAAAATTTATTTCCCTGAGGAGTATTCGTTGCAGAATCGTACGCACATTATTATTGAGAATTTTTTTTTTTACTTTATAAAACGGAGTTTAATTGCATGATGATGATGATGAAACGATTTTATATTGATCGATTTATTCCCTGTACTGTATATTTATGCATGCATGTATGTACGTATTCGCAGGTTGTCTCATGCCAACAGCGGCGGCGACCCGCGCTTCGGCGCCGTCGTGTCCCGGCGGTACTCGGCGTCCGTCGTGGCGTCCCCGCTCCACCGCAGCACGGACTTCCGCGACTCGGGCCTGTTGCCTGCCAACTCGGGTTTCCAGCTCAACATGCCCCTCAGCTCGAATGTGAAGAAGATCCTCGTGTCCAACGAGGTGCTGGACGAGGTCCAGTCCAGTCTGACCAACCTCAACGGACACACCATCATGCGGAAGCGGAGGGAACAGGCCAGGGACTCGTCTTCGTCGTCGTCGACGACGACGATCGTCGTCCTCGGCGGCGGCGGCGGCGGCGTTGATCACGACTGCTGTGAAAAGGGTATACAATCAACTCTTACTACAGTTGATTCCCTGATTAAAATCGAGGGAACTTATTCACGCGACACCTATGTGTAAAAGTGCCTATTATTGGGTCGCTTTGATTTGTGTGGCCGCGACTTGGAATTTTAATTTTATGTTTCATAGGTGTCGCTCGAAATTTTTTGTTGCTGACGCAATTGCGAATTATTTTGTGTTGGGTTATACTGTACTGCACTCTACAGCTGTGATGTGCAGTAAAATCTCGTTATAGAGTGAGGACACGCTAGAATAGATCATTAGTGTTCCCCAACCTTTTTTTGGTCCGCAAACTTTTATATGCCTGCCATAAGGTCTATATTGAGCAATTTTTTATTTTTCAAGTCTGTAAACATTTTATGAAACTTTGCCAGTCTGCAGACTTTTTTTTTATATTTGCCAGTTAGTGGGTCCAAATATGTTGGGAAACACTGGCACTTTAAACTTTAAAAATAGACATTTTTGATCTGTTTTTGAAAATGTCAGCCTGATGATATTGGGCCAGATTTTTTTGGTGGGTTTAAAATGTCCCTAGATAAAATTGTCCACATGTTGGGTTGTCTGCATGCTTGGGTCTCACTACAACACACAGCTGGGGACTTGTGAGACAAATTTTATTATACTGTACAGTACTGAATAATTGTTTATTACATGATTTTCAAAATTAATGACTGGAAAAATGTTTCATGTCATCTGACCTGTGTATAATCAATTATATGTTGCTCTTCTGGGCATTCTCCTTTTTTAGTTTTTTGTTTGCTTGAAAAACTGGGGGATCTTTTGGTAAAACGTTTAGCTTCAATCATGAATCCCATCAATTTCACCAATCTCTTCATTTTCACATTATACAGGATTCAAATTATACCTGACGTCATACTGGAATATTGGGAGGTTTATATGATGAAGAGACGATTTTTAAGATAATAGGGGGGGAGGGAAAAATCAGGCATGGATTTATATTTGGATCAGTGAGAACTTGGATGGAAATACGTTTCTGATTGGTTGATATGAAAAAGCTCTTAGTAAAAATTTGCTTGTAACGACTATATTGAATGAGGATCGGTCCCTTTGATCTCATTTTTTGATGATTTTTCTTCTCTTCTCCGTATTTTCGCTCAAAATAACTAAGGCCACCTTGTTTTCTTTATATTTCATTTCAATAGTGATCCATCCGAAAAACAATATGCATACAGTATTTTTATGTGTATTTTCCTCCCATGTTTTGTCAATTTTTCATCTCTTCTGCATTTTTCTTTCCATTTAGCGTATCTCTTTTGGAAAAGTTGGCAGTTTCATTAACATTTTACTTCTTGCTGCATAATTTCAAGCAGGGTTTGTCAATGGATCTCAGACTATAACTCGAATCTAATTCAATTTGAAACTGATTTTATTGTGGCGCGCGTCAATATTTATATTGCGAAGCACTTTCATGCAAAATATCCAATCGATATTAAATTTGTGGTAATTTTTTTTTTTAATAAATACCTACAATACTTGGAGATATCCACCTATTTTAGGCCCATTTGTTTGGAATTTGAATTTCCTTCGACTTTCTGTCTTCAAAAAACTTTTAAAAAGTTGCGGAGCCCCTGGGAATTGCACGCGGAGCCCTAATCGGGGCTTCGTGGAGCACAGGTGCTCCAACGTCTGCGAATAAAATATTGACACTTTTTTTTTTTTCACCAGGTTTCGACGATCGAGAGAATGTGGAAACGAGTCCGAACCCATCAGACGACGTCGAGGAACCCGAAGTGAAGCCATCGCCGCCAAAAGAAGTCACGTTTGAAGTGGGGACGACGACCCAAACGTCGCCGAATCCAGCTGCTGCTGCTGATTTCCCTCCGCTGGCCCGATTCTCGCCGGCGAAAATGGCCGCCATGCTCCACACGGTCGGCCGCCGCGTGGCGACTTCGGCGGCGTCCCTGTACTGGACTTCCTTGGACCTGCTGGACTCGTGCAGCCCGGCCATGTTGAGGCGGCATCGGAGACGCCAGAATGAAGCCGACGGCGGCAGTGCAGGTGATAATCACGACAACGACGAGGGGCGAAGCAAACGGCGTTCGGCGTCCATGCATAACCTGCCAGCGACATCTACGGATAAATCACGCGTGAGTATAACGTGATGCAGTCGCAGATTTCAGATGGATGATTCAGATCCAACAAAATAGTTGATCCTGGTTAAAATTGAGGGAAATGCACGCGACACCTATGTCATTATGTGTAATAAAGCGCCTATTATTGGATATCTTAGAATTGTATGTCCGCAACTTTAAATTTTCATTTTATTTTTCATAGGTGTCGCTCGAATTTTTTTTACGCAATTGCGTAATTATTTTGTGTTGGGTTTCAAGTCAAACTTCAAGGGACCACTGAAAAACTTGAGTTTGGAAGGTTTTGAATCGAGGAAACAAGCATTTATCCTGGGAGAAGAAGATAGAATTCCAGAAAATTGTGTTTCTTGGACATCATATTGCTTCTTGTATGAGAGTTGACAGGATGCTGAATTTCGAAGCATGATTTCATTTTACCCATTAGACTTCTATGTAATTTCAAAACACATTCATTGACATTTTTGTATCACTTTTTTCTCTTACCTCTGTCTAATAAAATAATCGCCAAAAGGCCTCCAGAAAAATTTTGTTTTGTAGTTAGGAAGGCTTTTAATGCATTGCTTCCAAGAAGATTCAAGCATATGGACTTGATAAAAATTAAATGAGAGGAGGTTTGAGTGATCAAGGTTCAACAATAATTAATTCTTGAATTGTACAAAGTTAAGATTTGAATTCCACAGTTATTTTGAAAAATCCCATTCCAAATTGCCTGTGCATGTCTGTTCACTGACTTTTTTATTTTCTAAAAAATTCAATGTGTTTGTTAATTCAAATATTTTTGGTTTATACTCATTTGAGGATGAGAAAGCATTGACCTGTCTTCCATAATTTACTAACTTCTCTTCCCCCCCTTTGAAGCATTTTAAAGATATTTCCCTGTTAGATGCTTGTACATTGGATTTTGGGAGGTTGTTTGAAGCATTTTCTCTAGGGAAATTCAAACACGGACATAAAAAAAAATCGAAATCGACAGCTATTAAACTTAATTGCATCCAGTTCCAGCCAGCTTTCTTTCTTTCAAAATGAATGAGCTTCTAAAATGTCTGTAAATTGTTTTTCATGTAAATTTCGAATGTCCTTGAGAATTCATCGAAAAGAGGGAAAATTATATTGATGTTTTCTGATGACTCTGCCTCTTTTCTTTCTATAAAAATGAATTACAGGTGGAAATAGTTCTGGTCACTCGGCCGGACTCGACAGACTCTGACGACCACGCGTCATCCCTGGGCTCGGTGTCGATCCCTCGGAATTGCGGCTCCAGCGTCGTGTCCGACACCCCGAGTCCGACACCCAGTCTCTCAATCGACAGGGAACCAACGATAATTATAGGCCATCATCATCATCATCTTCGTCACCATCATCAAGGGGATGCATCGACTCAATGATGATGCCCGGGATCCACGGGAATCCAGCACAGCAGACGACAATCACGAATGGGTTGCTGAGGAAAAACATTGTCGACATCGTCGCTGCTGACGACTCGACAGACTCGACATCTGGCTGCGAGAGTGGAATCATCGCGTCATCACGCGACGACGACGACGACGACGAAAACGACGACGATGACGATGCTTGTTCGTTTGCGTCGGTGTCGAGTGGATTGACAGCAGTTCAAGCCTGAGGTTGAAATTCGACGCGGATTTTTTGCAAACTCTTTTGCAAAAAGAAAAAAAGAAATCGGATTGCGAATACTGATGATTCGCGCGGATTCCATGATGAATGAGGACCTAATAATTTGCCAGTGGCTTTAATTGATTTCGCTTTCAATTATATTTTATTTTGCTAGGAACGAAACGAGGATTCGTTAATTTTTTTTTTGGGTGCTTTTTTCCGAACAAAAGGAAATTTCCAAGAATATCGCCTCTAAAAAGAAAAGCCGGAACTATTATGTGTGTGGTGTGTTGTGTTTTTTTTCGAAAAAAAAAGAGTTGGTGGATTTTCGGTTTTGATTTTTGGTAGTCTCTTCGATTGCAAACTGCTGAACAATCCTTTGCATTGCGAATGTGTAAAAAATAAGAGAGAGGTTATTTAATTTTTGCATTTTTTGGTTTTGGATGATTTCGAAGAGACGTGAAAAGAAAAGTCTTCTGGTTAATTTGCTCTGGATTGAGAAGTAATTCCCAGATTTGGTGATTTTTCTGTGAGGGTAATGTTGAAGAAAGTATTCATTGTCAAGTGTGTGAATCGCTGACTTTCAATTTAAGGATGAGTAGATTTCGATTTACTTTTGTGGCGATTTTGGCTTGAGAGTGGGGAAAATGAGTAGTTTTAAATTCAAGTTATTTGGTTTGCAAATTGAAGAATGCTTGTTTTGAAAGCATATGCAAAAGTGAAGGAATCGTCTGGGAAAAGAAATGCCATATAGTAAGGAGAGGGAAAAAATTATACACGGTCGATCAAGAAAAAGTAGAAACTCAGTCATTTGTGATGATGTTCCAACGTCTGCTGTTTTGTTTGAGAAAATCTCCCATTAATTATCGAAATCATCGGGTGTGAATTTCGCTTATATAATTGCTTTTGACGAGCTATAGTGAACGAATTTGAGGGAGACGAGAATAAAACGCCTGGTGCAAATCTATTCCTGCGAGATTCATTCAGAAAATTGCACTATTGTGTACTTGTTGACTCTAGGGTTTCTGTGCGAGAGGGAGTGCTGACATCTGTTGAGATTAACAGAAGATGTTGAACCAAACAAGATAGATGTCACTGACAGCAAGCAGAAAGTTTTCATTAGTTCAAATTACAGGGAGACCCCAAGATGTGGATGTAATTGGTGCATCAAGAATTTCCTCAAGTCAGAGTTTTTTAAAGTCAAGCCTGATTTCCCCATAGACTTACATTATATAAATTTCAATTGGTGTATGATGGAAGGAATTTTTATCAGAATTCCATGAAAAAAAATTGTCTGCCAATTAAAATTGATTCAGTGAATATATTTCAACTCAATAAGAGCATTTAAAGCATTGAATACTGGACCTCTGTACTGTACATTGACATTTTGCCATCTGTAAAAACAACATTCAAGTCACAAAGAGAAAAGGAAGTTACTCTATATTTGAGGTAATCTTTATAAAATTTGCTGAACAGATGGGTAAATTATGGGGAAAATGCCAAAGAATTTCCCTTGCATAAATCTTAAGGTTTGAAATATCTGTTTTAACAATTCCGCCTGTTAAAAGTCACTTTTCCTGAAACTATTGGTGCTTTTATCATGCAATGTCCTTCTGTTGAGTCCGTGTCTGCATGTCAGGCTTTTTTTATGGAAAGTTAATGTCTCCATAACAAATTGTCCACATGTGGGAATCTCAATATTGTAAAGCCAGCAAGAGAATCCCTGCTTTAAATATCTAATATATAAAACCCTCAACTTGGAATGCAGTCATTTATTCTCTATGTTGTACAGAAACAAAAAAGTACAGAAAAAGTCTTCAAAGGATTCCCTCCATTCCAGCAACAAAAAAAATAGTTCAAGGTAACCAACCAGCACACAAGCAAGTTTTCGCGTCGTCGTCATTCGTCATTTTACGTTTGCTGAATATGTACACGATTTTCCTTTTTGCCAAAATCCGAATATCACAGGACGCAAAAGGGATTTAAAAAAAAACCTCCTGATCCGTCAACCATTCCCCAGCGTTGGTCGGAAAAATAACCAGATCAAATCACTCGGGAGACTAATTCCGCCTCGCTCAATGAAAAAAACAAAAACAAAATTCCACCACACTCATCATTTTCCGCAGTTCCAAGCATCATTACTCAAGGAGGTCAAAACAAGACGCCAAATAAAAGCAGATGCATTCATGTGAAATTTTCAGTCACGCTTTTTCCTCAAATTAATTTCCGTTTCCTTGAAGCGTGGAAGAGTTGAGAAAAAGTATTCCTTATCTTTCGCCCAACAATGAAAAAGCAGCAGAACCCGCAAAATTTTCCGCTTCAGAAAAAAGTTGTCAAAGTTACCAATTGGAGTACAATTGAAGCATTTTATACGAAACTGTGCAATGCAGTATAATACTGGGGACACCCAAATTTTAATTCATCCCAGAATTGAACCTGAGTGCGACTACTTTTCCATCGTTTCCATTAGAATAAGTTTTTCTGTTAAAATTAGCCCATAATTTCCAATTAAAATCGACTATAATGCACACCTGAAGTTTTAAAACATTTTTGTTTGTTTTTTAAAGTTTTTGGTACCAGAGTAAATACTGTACAGTGAACATTGCTTTCTCGTTTCTTTTGAGTCCGCACAGTTTTTTGCTTATTCTGCATCCCATTATATTGTTTACAATTTCATGCAACTTATCTTTATTTTACTTTAAATTTATACTCATTTCGGAAACAGCGTGTTGCAAAAGTATCGAAAAAATAATGGAGTATCAGACAAACAAGCTTTCATACCTTGAGCTATCAACGTCGATGACGAGAGAATATATTGGATAAAAATTTCTAAATCTGAATCCTCCTCCAACAAAAAAAAAAAAACAATGAAGCTTGGAACTCTCAGACAAGAAAAGGCCACCTTCACCGACGCATCAACGAATTTTTTTTCTTTTTCCAAGCGAATCATCCCTCGTATTTTCTTTTCCTGATGATGAGATCCGAGTGTTCTTTTCAATTTTGTTCTTCGGCGTCCAACAAGGGCTTGATGGCGTAGTACTGCCTGAAGAGCCTTTGTCGACAAAATTGATAGAAGTCTATTTCGTTGGTGAAGTTGGGACGGATCATGGCCTTGGCTGCTTCCGACACCTTCACCTTGAAATTGTTCTTGTTCTGGTAGGCCAGACCCTCCGTGTACTTGTTATCTGTGGGAAATTAATAGCAGTCGGTACAGTTCATGATGGAATGCCGCGATTGAGAGGCGATATCTACAATATATCAAAGGCAATCCAGGTGTTCTTGGCTATACATCCGGCTCAATTATAAAAACCTGAAGAATTCTAATGAGTCAGTAAATAGCTCGAGGGGTCTCACAAGTTTAACAGCAATCTAAAAATAAAAAAAGAAACCCGTTTCTCCAGCCCCACTTGCTTGAGACCATCCTCAGCAGAACAACTCAGTTCAACGCAGGGCAACGACTTTCTTTAATTGCACCTCAGTCTGTCAGCATGATCAAGTAACGGAAAACATTACAGTATAAACTGAAACTTGATTAAGAAAGAGATATTTTGAATATTTGCATAAATGAAGCAATGTAAAGTACAGTTTAACCTCAATAAATCAAACCTCTTTTTAAGTCAAATACCTCCAGACATCAAATTTTTTCAAGAGCTTGTCGGAATTCACTTGGAAAAAATGCATTAGAAACCACCGACTCGCACAGGCTTTCATCCCTTTTGGAAATTATTTGACCGACCAATAGGAAAGAGAAAGCAATGAAAAAATGTAGCTTAGTGATTTGTTTTAAAATAAAGTGAAGGACTAATTAGGAAAATGAACCCTTTATTGTTCAGCATCCTGTCAACTCATTTAAGAAGTAATTCAAGGCCTATAGAATATCACCATGCAATTACAATTTCCAGAAATTCTTTATTTCCTTTGAAGAAATTAATGTTTCCCAAACTTGAACTTTTTGCTACTCTTGAACTTTGTTAAATGTAACGCGCGAAAATTTCACAGAATTCGAGCGACACCTATGAAATAAAAATGAGATTACTGATTTGTGGACATTCAAATGAAAGAGGACCAATGATGTGTTTTTTTTTTTGGGACCTGATAACTGCCGCCATCTCAAGCCTGGATCTCCCTCGCAATCAACTCATTTCTTTTGAGCTAAATCATCTGAAATCTTATGCATATGAATTTAGCCTACACAAGCAAGCCTATATAGAAGAGAGATTCGATTCATCCCTGTCTAAATAAAAGTAACATCTCAGGCAACAGAAAATAGCTTTTGAAGAGCTAGGATTCAAAAATAATGCGTGTCATCTGGCGTGAACTGAAGACACGCACAAAAATGATAAACTACTTGTTTTGTTTTTTTTTTTCTCGCAACTTCACTGACCATTGTAGACAGCTGAGGCGTTTGCGAAGTATTGCGGAATGTAGTACTCGAGCACTTTCAACGTGATGTCCATGGCTTCCTGAACACCGACCACAGCGTAGTACTTTTCCACGATCCGTTTCGCTTCTTGAGCAGCGTATTTGGAATTGAATCGCCTGAGGGGAAACGCAGAAATGAAAGGTCTTTTATTTCATGCGTACAACAAAAGACGACACATACAGCTAAAATCTGATCTCGTAAATCATCATGCATGCGGAGATGACCGCCGACGAAACAATAGCCCAGTGAAGCGAATTGTTTCTTCTTTTCTTTTCTTTTTTTTTGCAGCAGCAGAGTGAATATTTTTATGATGATGATGGACTGGTTTTTTTTTTTTGCGAAAGGAAAATTGGATTCGGAAAGAAACTCACTTGCAAGCTTCGTCTCCATGAGCACAAAAATACAGTGTTTGTCTTCTCATGTCGTGTCTGAACTCGGGGTCTTCTTGAGTCCAGATACACTCTTCATTCCCAGTGAGAACACAAGTTTCAAAGTCCTTCAAAAAAGAAAAAGTCACATCATCTTTTGACACAAATCACAGCACAGTGCTGAAAGCCCAGTTTTTAG